TGAGTACGTTTGCCTTGAAAAGAGTTGATATTTGATTTTTGGCAGACGGCCCCAAATATGTTGGCTGTATCTGTTCACACACTGGTGTGGAACTGGAATCAATGATTTCAGTGGATCTACTACTGTTCAGTTCAGTCCACTTCTTACAACCATTAACCATGCACTTTCGTGCGCCGGTTTTGGTTACCCATTTGAATAAAACAGCAGAGTAATGATTAGAATGTTGAGAGCAGATTCAAGCGGAAGATAACGCATTTACATAGACTGAAGCTACAAGAATAATGATTAGATGCATAAACGCCACTGTTTGCGACACCCAACCATATCGCTCAGTGTCTCTAACCATCGGTGACCATGATCTTTGGGTCTCTGACCGTGTTTGTCAGTGAACGTTAGTTTGAAGCTGGTGGAAGTTTTCAGACTTTTTCGTAAGATTCACCGGAGCTTGGTACTTGGATTGGTGGTGGTGGCGCTGGAAAAGTCTGGCGTATTCTCCTAAAGATTACTTATCATTTGGTGTTCCCCTTTGTGTTTACCTTCTGCTACACACAAATGTGTTTCCCACCAGTCATATGACTACTGTCGAACGAATTCCATCTGCTAAAGGATACTCGGTCATTACGGCACCCTTTTTTCTGGGTAGTAGGCTAGCAGGCTGGTTTTCGGGTTTCGGATAGTAGAACAGACTTTTAGTTGGTTAACCGTGGACAGGTGGACGGTGCTTCACTCATATGTAGTCCTGAAAAGGTAGCGGACACGCAACGTGTTTTCGCTTTGTATACGATCTCTCTGCTCCCAAAAGCCTTCAATTTTCAAGGCATCGTGACCTAGGCGAAACTGGCTTATCATTCGATGCGGTTATCGTCATTGTTCTGTTACCCTTTGGATAGCACTTGGCTGTGCAAATACTCTTGTTGGACCCTCGACAATGGGACAAGATGCACTTTGTACCATACTCCTCGGATGCTCGACGTATTCATCCACGAATTCCACTTTTTTCAAGGAGAAGAAAGTTCTCTTAAAATAAGTGCGCGTTCTAATGGTTACGATGGTTGTGATCTTGACTAGGTTTGCTGACGATGTGATACATTTGAACCGCAATGTAGAAAACATCGCGTTTGAGCTACATTATCAAGGAGTCCATTACTACTCAGTTCGCTGGAAAAAAGTTACATCTAGTTCGTCATTGGCAATGAATATGGCATATACTGGTGATCATATAGTTGCCAGTCTACTCGTGAACACGTAAGCACCAGCATGTGATCTTTGTCTGATCAGAACATGCAAACACAGACGACCAGAAGACAAATCACTTTTCGCATGTGTGTGTGTGTGTGTGTGAGGGAAAGAGCGATCATCACGTGATTTACCATAATCACCACCATTTATCCCCTCATTCATGATGTCACATTCTGCAAGACGGCTATTAGATCACATCTGTTTATGCAAATAGCTATCAGCGTTATTCTGTTGGAGGACTAGAACCGAAATATTGTGCCTGGGAATGAACCCGTATGGATTGTACCCGAACATTAGTTGTCAAATAAGCTGTTTTCGACTGATCACTGCATTCCCCTACTGTTGTTTCAGGCTGCGGAATTTTTCAAATCCGTCTCGAAGACCGCGGACGAAACGCTTCGTCTGACAAATCAACGAGATGAGGACCAGTTTTTCCGTGAGGAGAAGTGCATACTGGCCTCCTACTACGCTGCAGTCAAAGATGCCACTGCGGCCGCGGATGCGGCCACGCGGGCAAGACGAGCGATGGGGGAGAGTTTGTTGCGTGTAAATTTGGCCCTAGACAACCTAGTTCCGAAAGAACGTCTGTGCACATCGGAATCAGAGTAAGTGTCTCGGTTTTCTGCCTTCAGGATTGTTTGCATATGTAGTAGTCCGTTGCGCCACTTCACCTTAGACGCCGTGACTGATACCGTATTTTGTACATATTGTCTGCTAGTCTCAAGCACAGTGTATTTTTCGATCAATGAGCGAGTCACGTGGTTTTTCCGGGTAAAGTGCGAAATGCTTTACGAATCAGGTTTTTGTGCAAATTCAGTCTCATGTCCGAGTGCGCAGCGTATCAGGAGGATAATTAAAAAGGTCCATACTCAAATTTCGAACGACATTCGTTGTTTCGGTTGCCAGTGTAACTCCGACAATAAGGAAACAATTGCACACTGCTTTCTGGTTTTCGCTTCATTTTTCTGTTGCTTAATATACTACTACTATGGTAGTGAGTAAAGAAAATATGATCAACTTTGTGTCACATCATTGCTTGTACTGTTGCTCTCGATTGCACATCTTGCAGTGTTGAGTAAAAAAAAATGAACTGACGGTTTTAGCCTCCCAAAACCAGAGATGGTATAACGATTCTAGCTGGGTCGTGTAAATAAAATAAATAAATGAATGTATTTTTTACTTCCTTTTTTTATTTTTTTTGAATATACAAACGCACAGTCAACATTCAGGAAGGGGTTAACGGCAAAGGCACAAGAAATATTCAGGAACGGGGTACGTTTGAATAGAAACTACCAAACAAATTGGGCGACATTGACAGGATTCGAACCCACGAACTCATACCACCGAGCGCCGAGATTTGGAGTTTCCCTGACAGTAGGATTAATTACCTGGTGTTTGATTCGCTTGAATTCCCACCTCATTCGGGAACAAAACTGTTGTCTATAATAGGGATTTACTTACCTGTTTTTCATCAGAAACACACCAGCTAGCACTGTCGTTTCATTTCTCTAACCTCCCCCCCCCACACCAAGTGAATAACAAATAGCTTATGTGGTTTGTTCCCAACGGAAAATCAAGGAGCTAGATATTTCCCGATAAAGGGAAAGTTGTACGCGAATGAGAAACACAATGTTGGAACTCCGGTCCACATTCCTCAAACCCCGAATAGACATTAGAAAAATTAGAAAAATGTCTTCCGCATAAAATGGTTATGGTGTACTACTACTTTCATACGGGCAATCAAAAATGAAATTAGCGAATCGCATAACGAGGGAGAAAGAAACAGAGTGTAATATATGTTCTTGTGCACTAAAACACGGGGTTAGTGTATTGTGGTCCTGGTGTGGGTCTTATTCCTTCCGAGTTGTTTTGTTTATCACCCACATTTCACCTTTCTGATTGTCAAAAAATGATCATCCAAGAGCACTACACAGCCATTTCGGCCTTGTTGCAACTCAT